GATAGATTTAATAAAATACTTCGCAGCCATAGGCTGAATTGCGTATTTTTTTTACAAGTAAATTTAACTAATTACGAGAATATAAAAAAGAGTTTATCAAAGCCATTATGATGACATTCCATATAAATATTATATATACAAGATGTTTATTACTTTAATATACTAAAAAATTTAAAATTATTAAAAATATTAGGTCATTTCAATAGCATTAGATAAATGATTTGCGGCACGAAGCCACAAAAAAACTAGTTTGAAAACGATTAGTGTTACATCTAGGAATTTCAAATTTCCTATCGGTTCTTAAATCATAAAAAGAAGTATGTGTAGGTGGCAGTAAGCTTCGTAACTTATGATTTTCATCAGCAACTACTGTTTGAAATAAACTAGTACAAATATTTTCATGATGAACAGACAGTGACTCCAATCCACAACTAATTAAAGCGTCTTCGTAATTAGTGTTTGGACAGATAATTCTAATAGCTCTTTTTTGTAATCTTTCCAATTCGGAACGCAAGTATTTTGGCAACGAATAGTAAATGACAGGGATACCATAGTCGATAACAGATCGAATACATGTAACATAAAATAGAACCAGATCATTCCGAGGAATACCGGCCCGTTTGAGTTGGATCAGGTAATAGATTCGTTTGGATACTTTTTTAACTACCTCTTCGATATGTAGATTCCACGTCAGGTTATTATCGAATGACAAACCCAGAAGTTTAACGGATTTTACGACTCTAATACTTTTATTGTTAATAAGTATCGGGTTAAAATCACGAGGGACTTTTGAGAAGGAAATACGGAGCTCCTTACATTTCTCTTCATTCAGCTTCATTTTATTGTTTTGGGACCATTGTGACATCTCATTAGCAATTGTCTGTGCTCTACTCTGTTGGTTTTTGTCAACTGTTTCCGATACTGTCGTATCGTCCACGTATTTCCATAAGTCAGTATTTGTGATAGATAAATCATTTATCAGGATTAAAAAGAGCCATGGACCTAAAATGGTGCCTTGAGGGACGCCCGAAGGTACTGCACCCCAATCTGAAAAACATCCTTGTGAAAGTTTGACTCTTTGGAATCTGTTACTTAAGAAATCAATAATCCAATTTATAACACTTCGTGGTAGATCTAACTGAAGTAGTTTATTGAACAAAATTCTGTGATCAATTAGATCAAAAGCTTTTTGGTAATCGAATAGAATGATTCTAGTTGTAGAACCGGTACCGTCAAGCCCGGAGGTCCAGTTATGCACCATACTAAGAAGAGCAAAAATCGTCGATGATTTAGGGATTGCTCCATACTGATTGGGGTCAATTTTCTTCAAAACAGCTGGTTTCACATAATCATTAACAACGAAATGCTCTGCAACCTTCGAAATATTAGGTGTTAATGAAATGGGCCTAAGTTCTTTTTTCAGGTCCTGTACTATTTTTACTTTTGGCAGCGGTGAAACATTCGCAAGTTTCCATATTGCAGGTAGGCGTTGTTGTTTGTAGGATGCATTTAGGAGTAGACTAATTGGGAGGGCAAGGATTACGGCATACTCTCGCAAAAGCCAATTGGGCACTTCGTCAGGGCCACCACTTTTACTGGGGTTGAGTTTTTGTAGCTGTGATAAAACCCTTTCTTCAGAAACTTCTAAGAAATCTGGGTTTTCCTCTAAGTTAAGTCGCTCTAACGGTGAAGATAGTTGATATTCTGATAAGGGTTCAAGAAAAGCTGTATTTATTCTGTTTGCTAGTTCTTGTTCCGATATATCTTCAAAACCAGCGATATTTATCAAATTTATTAGGGAGCTGTTCATTGATTTCATTCCTCCTAGGCGTTTGATTTCACTCCACCAAGCTTTAGGGTTATCTTTTTCTTTACTGTGAACCTGGGTCGTATAGTATTTTGATTTACACGCTTTTCTCTCGCGATTGACAATATTTCGGTAATATTTAAAGCAGTTGGATTTTGGACCGTAACTGAAAAAGGCTTCTTGTCTTTTTTTTATAAATGTTTTCAATTTATCGGTCATCCAAGGAACATCTGCAGAGATTTTCTTAATCCGTTTAATTGGCATGAGGAGGTCAAGACCAATAGCTACAATGTCATAAATAAAATTCGCCATATCTTCACAGCTTTGTGATTGAGAAAAAATTTCAGGCCAAAGGATTGATTGTAAAAATCTCCCCATGGCATCTTTCTTACTCTGACGAAGGTCTCGTTTGTATACAAATGTAGATTTTGCTTTCTTCACAATGTGAGTGGGTGAAACTACAACTGTGTTGTGATCAGATAATCCAATTGGAGGGAGTATTTGCGGAGACTTGTAGAACTCGTGCATATTAGTTAATATAAGATCAAGTATTGCTTCGCCTCGAGTTGGTGATTTAACTATTTGTTTCAAACGAAAATGCTTAATTATATGATTCACATTAAGACGATTGAAATCCCCAGCAATGATAATACCGCAGTTGTAAAATTTTGCTTCGACTTCGCTCAGTGTCTGAAATAAGTGACTCTGCATGCTGAAATCGTCGGCACTGGGGGGGTGGTATAGGACGGCAACTATGATTGAGGAAAATTCACGAGGAAGTCGTCTAGGTTTTAAATGAAGCCATAAGATTTCGTGTTCGGAACAACATGAAATTTCTGAAAGGATTTTGAGTTTCGTATCACCGTCTCTGATATAAATACAGATTCCGCCATGGTTGTTTATAGATCTATCTTTGCGTATGATTGTAAACCCAGGTATACTTACAACGCTATCTGTAATTGAGTCATTGAGCCAAGTTTCAGTTAGAAAGGATAAGTTTATCTCATTTTCCATCATGAATTCGCGGACTTCGTCTATTTTAGGGGCCAAAGATCTCACATTAGTCACCATTAATTTTGGAATAAAATTACTAATCCTCTGTTTTAATGTAGTGGTATTAAGTTGATGGAGTTCTGTAGTAAGGGGCTTACATGGCAGTGTACAGTTATTTGGAAATTCAAGTTAACTACGTGATCTCGGACTAACTACGTTTTGTGCAACGCAGTTAAGTCATGTAGTTAACTAATTACAGTTAAGGATTTAACTACAGTGATTAACGTTAACTACAGTTAGCGCTAATTACGTTTTTATACAACCCACCCTTGCAATTTTGTCGGCGATTTTGTGTTTCTGACGGATGTAAATGAGTGAACTCGCACACAAAAGTATAGAGTCGCTTTTCAGAAGTCAACAATTCTAAGCCTTTTGCATGTCATTCATTCAATCACATTTGCCAGAGGGTAAAGTCTAAAGACCTACCTAAAATGATCATGTTTTGTGACTCGTTCTTTAGAAAGATGATTTCTATAGTTTTATTGTCTTTCATTGTTATAATCAACCAACCACGAGCCTGGATACACATGCACGTAAAAATCTCACATCTTATAACAAGTCTGCCTACAAGCCGTCAACAAGATGTTGTCACAAGTTGTCAACAGGTTTGGAACAACTTGTTGACAACTTGTAACAACCTTGTCGAAATTATCAGACCTGTTGCAAGGTTGTTCTGACAAGTCCGTTACATGCTTGATATAACAAGATTGTTACAACCTTGTGTTGACAACCTTGTAACATCCTTGTTATATCATGGCTGTAACAAACTTATTAGCACAGTCTTATAACAAGGCTGATAAAGCCTTCAAGCTTGTTACAAGTTGTTAACAGCTTGTTTCAAACTTGTTACAAAATCGCCGACAAAATTACCAGTGTGAACCAGACCTTACAACACATATGAAACAAAAAAAACTAACACGGGAGAAAATGCTTGAGGAAATTTTTAATTTATCCTTTTAAAAAGATTTTAAATAATTTTTACTCGTCTTTAAACTTGACGAACATACTGTATTCGTTATGTCGGCTTTAGTTCCAGTGCCATGGCAACCCAGCGATCACGAAACAGCTTAAAAAGGATGACGTAATTGAAGAGTAATGGAAGGGACAATGATACGACCTCGTGCCATAGCGGTGACTTGCATAACATTACCAGTTGATAGAAGATAAGAATACATAGTGTACATAGTAGCCAATTGGTCAGTCGTATTGGTGATTGAAACACAAACTATATATGAAAAAAAACATTGTGTGATTAGTGTGAATGTGATAATTAAAATCTTTACATAGATCATAGCAAAAATCGTTCCACCACAAAGGCTACACAGGTAAAAATCTCACAACTTGTCAACAAGATATGTTCGCAACAGGCTTGCAGCAAGCTTGTCAACAGGCTGTAACATTGCTGTTATTTTATCAAGGACAAGATGCTACAAGGTTGTCACTCACAACTTGTTGACAAATTGTTGAATTGCAGGACGATAACAAGTTGTTGGAACAACTTGTAACAAGTCTGTTGAACTCAACAATTTTGTAGCAAGTTGTCAACAAACTGGGAACAAGCAGTGCGAACACATCCTGTTGACAAGTTGTTGGAACAGCATTGCTACAAGTCTGCTGCAGGTTTGTTACAACTTGTGTTTTTACGTGTATAGTTTATACTATCAAAGTTTCTACTATTGGATGAAATGATAATAGTCCTTAGAAGAAAACAGTAACTTTTTGACCTGCTGTATCCAACATTGCATTGCGTATACCTAATGTTTAGATAGATTTGAAAATTGCGTGATGTAAGCACTTCTAGACTCAATTAGCCATTTCCCAAAGTCCTGGGTCTAGTCGCGCGAATGCCAGGTTGGAGAGACAAAAAATATGGCAGCACACATTTAAACTGAATGATTAATGTAAAAAGGAGATATTGCATTTTTGGTCGTCTAAAAAGTTGATTTTTGATAGTAGATACTTCTATTCTTTCACATATTTGACGCCTGTCACCATATATTTTGTCCCTCCAAACGATCCCAGAATGCACTGTGAACTTTTTTGGGAAAAGGCTAATTAGACAACTGATATTGCATAAATCGATACCTGGTCATACACGTGAATAGCACGTGAACACTGCCATACAGACATACTACCATACAGACATACTATCATACAGACATACTACCATAAGACATACTACCAATCACTGTCGTGAGTTGAACCACTACTGTGCATAATTTCAGCAACAGTCTAAGTGTAGATGAGAACTTATGAAGTTAAGGGCAACTTAGACCGATATATATATACTTACATAAAATCTCCAGTGATGTGTATCCCCTGGATCAGCAACATTTTGAATTCCTAATGATTTGTATAATCCTTTATTCTTGTAATTCACAACCACATCCTGAGGCCAGCTTGTTAAAGCTGACCAACTACAAAACAAAATGTCCAGTGTAGGTAGTATTATAGTACGATAAGCAGCCGTGGTTGCGCTTTGAACTACCCTTATGAAACCTACCAACAACTGATGTCTTACTCTGATCTAATTATAAAAAAAATATTGTACATTGAACTTACTCTCTAGGGTTATCAGGTATTTCATCATCTTCGTCACATTCAGCCCAGCCACCAAGATGTACAGCACATTTACTGAGTGTATCACAATACTGTAGCGGCGCCAAATATTTCATAAGCAGTATAAGAGAGCCAATCCACACAAATATGACATGTTGACATGACCACCACAAATCATAATAGACATAGAAACGCTAAACAGTGAAAGACATTTACCCATTAAGCTGCACTGTACTCCAATGCACCCTATTTTATTATTTTACTCTGTCTAATGCCAGATCATGCCTGTATTTTAGTTTTTTTCCAGGTAGCCAAAAAATATTTTCAGTTAGCAAATTATGACAGGGGACCAGGCACCGAAGAAATTTTTTGAGTTATGTTTCATATTGTAAAAATTGAGTGTCCACTAATTTGCTCAAACCCAATTAGTAGAAAATTTTCATATATCAAGCCGAAAACGGAGTTCTCCTTCTGAAAACGGAGTTGTGGCATTTGAAAACGGAGTTGTGGCATTTGAAAACTGAGTTCATAGCATTTGAAAACGGAGTTCTGGCATTTGAAAACGGAGTTCATAGCATTTGAAAACGGAGTTCTGGCATTTGAAAACGGAGTTTTGGCATTTGAAAACTGAGTTATGGCATTTGAAAACGGAGTTCTAGCATTTGAAAAAGGAGTTTTAGCATTTGAAAACGGAGTTTTGGCATTTGAAAACGGAGTTCTGGCATTTGAAAATGGAGTTCTGGCATTTGAAAATGGAGTTTTGCCATTTGAAAACGGAGCTCTGGCATTTGAAAAGGAAGTTCTGGCATTTGAAAACTGAGTTTTGGCATTTGAAAACGGAGTTCTGGAATTTGAAAACGGAGTTCTGGCATTTGAAAAAGGAATTTTGGCATTTGAAAAAGGAGTTTTGGCATTTGAAAAAGGAGTTCTGGTTTTTGAAAATCGATCAGTTTTGGCACTTAAAAAAAGAGTTCTTGAAATTTTCTACTTTACTTAAGCATGCATAAGACCTTCTGACCAAGGATTGCAGTTAACTTCAGGCACTTGTAGGTAGCGCCGCTACCCAGGCCCCCAACATCTGACAAGCATGTTCCAGACAATTTTACTTGCCAAGGGGAAAATGGGTTACAAGGGAACATAAATCACAGTTTGTTTGTTGAGCAAGAAACAAGGGGGTAAACGTGAGTTTATAACTTGTGCTCTTTGGTAGCACGTAATTTGTGCATGTTCTTTTCATCGCTGTGGCATGCCAATTATCATGGTATGTAGTTGTCTGATTATAATTTTAGCACAACTGCATATCAGACGAGTTCTAGTCAGTTTGACTCTATCAAAATTGCTGATTTTCTTTGGGTACTTCAGCACCAGTAAAGGATCAGCCACCTCAGGAAAAACACTTTCCAAGAAATTTGCATTTCAAATACTGCACATTGGACTGCAAAATTACATATTCCCCTCCACACTACATCACCTCAGAGACGCGTGTTATAGTTTACAAACTCACCTTTGAAAATCTCATAGGAATAAACCCAACGTAATATGCACAAATAAATGATTGAAACAATGCTCTCTTCATTTTAAAATTAAAATCTGCTCTATGGCCTTCGGCTTCGTAACGAATGACATCTGGGGAGAGAGAACAGTGGCTCATTTTCGGGCATGTCTCGCCGTCCGTGTTGCCTGGTTTCCCTGGATCTATTGGTGGACGTTTCTTACTTGGTTGAGAAATCTGATGAGTCACTTTAGGGGTGACTTTTTGTAGCTTCAATTCCATTGTAAATCCAAATACCCACAGATATGTCATTGTGCTAAATGAAAGATGAAGATTAGCAGGGTGTTAGCTACAGTCAAAACGTACATTGCCAATACATTTGTGTTTGACACTTACGGATATAGGAATAACAAAATATTTGTCACTGACGTTGTTCGATACAGTTGTAAGATCAACCATATAAAACATGACAGTAAACCAACAAGTCCAAATCCTTTCAACAATGCAATCAAAACAATCCGTAATGAAGTGATCTCCTTTATGTACACAACCTGGAATGGAAATACTTGATGAGTCAACCATAAACAAAAACATGAATTACTGACTGACTGAGACACACAGACCTGTTTGAAAACAATCCATCCAATTCTTCTCATTAAAAACAAAGCAATAACCAGAACTTCTTGGTAGTCAATCAAATGATAATTCTGATAAAATATGAATAAAACTAGTTTTACGTATTACTAGGTAAACCATTCCCTTAATGGATTCCTATAGGAATTCCTATAGGAAAACAAACAAAATTCCTACAGGAATTCCTATAGGAAAAAATATTCATATAGGAATTCCCATAAGGAGCATGAGTTCCTATAGGAATTCCTGTAGGATCCTATAGGATATTTTCGTAAGGGGATTCTCCCATTAAGTGCCAGCACTATTCCCTTGATCAGAAAAATCTTAATGTAACTTAATTTACTAGACACATGGACAGAGAGTCTGATTAACACATTGAGTTGGCGCACTCTCCCCTCGACGAATGAAAACATCTGGCATTAGGGCACAGTGCAGCTTAATGTATTAAACTACAACACACCCTAATGCACTCCATTTCATTATTTCATTCTGTCCAATGGCAGACAATTTTACTTGTACCCTTGAAAGTGTTGGGCACTTAACAGTTGTGCCAATTCTCCAATCTGAGTTGACGTCATCAATTCTTCATCTCATTCATTTCATTACAGTGTTTTGAAAATTTTATTTTTCCTACACATTTGACTGGAATTTGCCACTGCAGTGATAGACTAATCTGAGAATTAGATTACAATTCTAGGGTCTATTTTTCCCAAATATGAAAATGAAAGTTGACATCGTGAACTTGGATTGGAGAAGGGAAATTAAATTCCTCTGACCTGCAGCTCAAGAATTTGTCAACTTCCTGTATTTAAATTGGCCAATCATGTAATACGAAATATCACATCTGACCAACAATATGGATGGTATGTTTATTATTTTGTTGTTTGTAATATTTATACTCATTTGAAAATTGGTAATTTGCACTAGAATATCAGAGAAATAATGTTTGCTTCCAACATAAAGGATAGTACTAATTGGATGATAGCATTTTAATTAGCAATTCTAATTGTCAAATGAATTCCTAAAGTGAGGAAATAAACTGATAGACTGCATCGTCATTTTTCAGAATGCTTCTATTCACATGACAGTAATAGGTTATAACCTGACCATCTAGCATTTTGTAAAGAGTAAAATAACAAAACGATCACTGTGCATTTATTGTAGCTGTTTATGAAAAATGTACAAACTTATTAAAATTCAGGAAGTAAGCTTAGGAAGTTAATAATTATTGAACAACAAGAAAATAACTTAGTTTATTTATCAAGTATTATGGCTTTGGTTTATGTTTGAGTTAATACAATTGTATAAAACAATGGAAATAGGAATGTATGTATATATTATAATGTAGGCATTACTTAACTGTACAAGCTAGGTTGATACCTCGTTTATTATGTTAATACTCCTGAAGAAGCACGCAAATATCAAGTTGTTAACAGGATTAATTATGCAGTACTTCTATTACATTTTCAAAATATTAATGTACTTACTCTGATATGTGGGCAAAGTACAGACTACAGTACAAAAACTGGTAAGAAATTTACTATTATGAAAGGCGTCATTGATAGCGAAAATGCGGCCCATGTGTTAAATACCGTAATACGAGCAACCAAATATTGATTGATATTTTAAAGAAAGCGGTCACTATAAAATTTGTGGAAGAGTTCATATACCTACCGTTTTATAAATGTTTGCATATTGACTGAATAGAGCGAGAAGTCCGTAAAATAAGTAGAAAACTTCAAAACCGAGTACAGTAAATACGGGTGTCATTGGGCACTCTTGATGATAAATAAAGGCCTTAGTACAGGCACCTGCTGTAGTCGAGTGAGGCGATGTTATATTTGAATGGCCATTCCTGCGGGGGAAAAACAATAACAACATAAGAATTTGCTAGTTCTGATTAACTTGCCAATACGACAATGCTGATAAGTGAAGCGTTTCAATCAAAACTAAAATGACTTCAGTGGCCTATTGATAAATATTTCCACTCTATTCCTGTGAATAATTGCTTTGTTAAAGTACACCTATAATCGACGCCGAAATTTATAATAGCCAGCCATATTTACACATATACAACATAGTAAAGCTGTTATGTATCAATATATCAAACACTACATAACAAATATCCCCTTGTATCGTAAGAGATATAAACATAGATTGAAGTGTTCTGAATGTGGGTCGCTTACCTTAAATTGCTAGTACGAGAATCGGCTTGAGTTCTCACACTTGATGCGGTGTTTTTAACAGCTGCAAGTTTACGGCCAGCCGGCATAAAATACGCTTTTGCTTGACGATGAAGCGAAGTGGCATTTAACACAAAAGACAAGGCGACATCAAGTGATATATTTGCATGAAATTTTGTAAACATGTGTAGCCAAACCAAAGTGTTTGCATGCTTCGGACCATTATCAGGGGGGATGGGGAGGGTAGGGATTTTCTGCCCATTGAACTCTATATATAAATTTATGAACTGGAGTATTACAACCGTCGCTTGTATCCAACCATGAACAGTCGCAACATTACCATTTTTGTCTAACTGTTGAGCCAGAAATGTTATGTAGTTTACCCAACTACGAGAGTTACTAACTTAATACCACAAGACAGTTTTTGCTCAATTCTGGATACTGAGCCATGTAGTCTGTAGTACCAGAAGTTCAAACTAAAAGGCAAGAAATCCCATCCGGCCATACTTCCTGACTCTACTAACATTCTACTCGAGAACTGTAGAGGACTGTTTCATGCTGGCTGAGAGAATGGGCTAGATTTAGGCTAAACCCAACACTATTGTGAGATTGAGTGGCTTACCAACCAAAATTGAGCAAACTACAAGGGAAACACCAGCAGCCCATTATTAGCCTCAGGTACTCTTTTTGCAAGACCCTCTATAAATCAGTAACTACCACCTTACTCACATTACTATATAGGAACAGTTCCATATATGACTTCTGTCAAGCTTGTGGGATGTGTTAGCATTGTGCAAATTAACTAACAAGACCCAACACATGCACACAGTTCTAATAATTTGGTGAACTTTACATAATTACCTTTGAACTTTAATAGACACACTCAATAAACAGCAAGTTTCAACTTTCAGCATTTAATAAATCAAATTAAATCAATTTTACAATCAATATCTTATTATTTGTTTCTTACAGCTATAATAATTATCTTTGTATATATTAACACAAATATATATTACCTTGCATTATTCATTAAAATTTTAATTAATAACATATTAAACTTTATTACTATAAATTATATACTTTACAATTAGAGTTACTGTAAGTTTTAAGTACTGTATTTGACATATGTATTTTTGGTTTAGTTTAGTATAGGTTAATGTGCGATAGTTATTTAATGCGAGACAAATTTCAGCAATAAATACATTACATATAAAAACCAAGGCAAACAAAACATAACAAATGTTGTTTGCTTTACTTTGTATGTTTTTCTTATACTAACACAACATATGTTTTTATCTTCTTCATGTAACAACATTGACATATTTATCTTGGTTTTAATTCAACATGGAACTAGACAAACCCGGTTCTTGCTTTGCATAACATTGCAAAAATGCTGACAAATGCTGAAAAATGCCTCGCTAAATATATATTACATACAATAAATGTTAGTTTCCAGGATTATATTGTTACCTTTGTACATGGTCATTTTCGGCTAGAAATCTAAAATTCAAACAATGAAATTTAATCTGACTGATTGTAGAGTGATTGTCTAGCTGGTTGACTGACAGATGGAGTGCCTGGCAGACGGGTTGACCAACTGGCTGGTGTCACAGAGTAGATACATACAGAGGTGTAACTGGCCGTCATAAACACTGTGGAAACTTACGTTTTCATGTACCCACTTTTTTCAGGTGACCAGGCAAAAAATAATCAACTGCGCATGCTCGGCAAGTTCTGTAAACAGTTAAAGCGAGCGACTCATCCAATGGGATACATGCATCTAGTAACTTGCCGAGCATGTGCACAAGCATTATAACTCTGTATATGTATCTACTCTGTGCTGGAGTGCTAATTGCCTGACTGACCGGCAAACTACTTACCTGCTTCAGGCTCATTGCCTGGTTGACTGACAGTAGTCACTAACTGACAGGGGGAAGTATTACCAGTGCAGAACTCTCTCTCTAGAGAGAACTCAAGTCCAAAAGTGAAGCCTGAGCTTCATGTTAACTGCGCAGACAAAACAATAGAAAGAGACTGGAACTGACTTCCAATAGCTCCTTGTTCCACCATGTTGGCAAAAAGTATGTAGAAAAAACTGGAATTAGCTGGGAAAACGGTATAAAAGCTGTTTACAACCTTCAGAGCTATTGGACGTCGATGGTCGCCATCTTCAGGCTTCACTTTTCTCATAGGCTAAATGACTGAAGTTCTTGATATATATGGAGCTCACTATGTATTACAATACCATTACATCACCTTGAATATGGATGTTCCCGCGCAAGACCTCTGCGTAGCTTCGGATTTCCTCCTAACCCAAATATACCACCATTTTCTAGTGAAAACAATAACATTTATCAAACCAATAGCCTGGATTTTCCTGCCTGCTCAGTTAAAAAATCAAACCCTACCTATGAAAGATCCATCCATAGAAATGTCCATAACAGTACCCCCTCTGGGGGAGAATCCAAAGTCTGTCCCTGCCATTGCTGTTGACAAATGGTTTCCAGCTGCTGCTTTATGTTAAAAATTAGTACATTGTTTAACATTGCTGGAGGAAATAAAACGTGAATAATTCTTTATGTGTCGTTAAGTTACCTGAAGACGTCCGTACTCCAGGAAAAGCTCCAGAAACAGGTGTCACAGGAGGACTAAGCATATTCATATTGCCATTGCTGCCTACAGTGTATGTTAATTTAACCATATTAAGAGATTAATACTGTATTAAAATCATATTAAATGGTCTGTGGTAGTTCCAATAATAAGAAAACTTGCAACTGTACAATTACCTAAAAAAAAACAAGGAGAACTTCAACATTTCAAAGTTCTATTCCGCTCGAAATATTGAAGTTCTCATTGTTTATTTCTCAATGAAGAAATTACCTGGAGGTCTATAGGTACCATTGATCAAAGCTAATGTTCCAAGTTGTTCTCGTTTTATCTCATCATCTCCATCCTCCTAGAAAAAGCATAAACATTTTAAAACGATTGAGCTAGGACAACTGTTACTATTACTAACTTCCAGCTACTAACTTCCCAACGAAGGGCCTATTGCTCAAAATGTCAATGTTTTACTTGTATTTTTTGAATAGGTAGTTGAATCCCCTATCCATATGCATTTTTTTCATGAGCAGTGCTTTAGGTTGTCAGTAATTTTCAGCAATGTTCTTAAGAATTTCTCCTTCACAATATTTATCTACTTGCTCGGCAAGCATTTACATACCACTGGCTTCATGAGCATTTTAATCTCGTTAACAGCCCTCTCCAATCTGACACTTGCTCGCTCTTGTGTATCTTCTACAGCAACAAGAACATGAAGATCTTCTTCCAAGTGCTCATAGTTTGGTTGGCCACGCTTTTCATCTTCCTAATAATCAAGATAATCACAACTCAGACAGACTTCCAAACTAAATGTTAACTTTATCTATACTGGATTATACAATTACTTTATGCTTTCCGTGTTTGGATGGCTTGATCCAAAGCGCGCGAAAACACGAGCTGAAGGCGAGTGATTTTGCGTGCTTTTCTTAACTCGAGCAACATTCCCAAGTGTTTGGATCAGGCCATCCAAACACGGAAACCATAAAGTAATTGTTTTATAAAATAACAACAACACGATAGTCTTCCGTGTTTGGATGGCCTGATCCAAACACGGAAGTTTCGACCAATCAGAGCACGTGTTATATACATGTTATTTTATAAAGTTCTATCAAATCTAATTTTGGATGGTCTGTTGCAAGTGCCAATAATTGAAAGCTTGATGGGAATATATCTACCTGAAAAATACAAGGAGAACTTCACATCAAAGTTCTCCTTCTATTTTTCAATTCCTATCAATCTGAAGCTTTCTATCAGTTCTTGCTAATATAGAAAGATTATTGATCTAGTGTCACTATAGGAGAAAGTAGGAATACTAAGAAAAAAACTGCAGTGTCTGTGAAGCATTCTCACATGCAATAAATCTTACCATTTTTCTATCTTTCATTGATCCCTTTCCACGGACCAGAAGCTTACATCCCGTCTCTGCCTCAATCTTTCTCAACGTTAATCCTCTAGGACCAATAATTCGTCCCACAAAATTGAACTAAGAAATTTATATTAGAAAACTGTGAGCACAGTTTGTCAAAACTTTATTATTTTCAATGTTACTTTACTCCTCTAATTAGATTGTTATACCTCATTAATAGGTTACAAGTTAATAAGGTTAGTCCAGTTAAACTGACCTTTGGAAACTCTTTGACAGGAGCAAACACTTTCTCAGTTAGTTTAACATTTTTACCGTTAGATGGTGGTAGGTTAAGTGGCGCGGATGCGGGTAAAGGTAGGCCATTGCATGGACCATGGAATAATTCAGTTCGAATACGGTTAATCTCTAAATGTAAGAGGTTAACATTAGTTGTTAGGGATTAGACTTGAAGCAAGTGACATTAGTGTGTTATTAGAGCATTAGTAGAGTTTACATTACTTTGTTAATTAATTTACACTGTCTAAACACCAAACAACCAATCAATTTGACAACAATAGTATTCTATCTAAATAGCAGTTAAAATAAAGTGTATGTCAATATCTTGCTTGACAGTGCTTCTAAATCCATAAATACATTTGCAGCTAACACCCATGATTTGCACCAATAACAGGAGGGTAAGTATCATCCAATTATTTCATTGTTCAAAGCAAGAGGGAACCATGCTTCCATATATGGCACAAACATGTCCACAACTTCCTTATATGGCACAAACATGTACCCAGAATATGTTATCGAGGCTGTCATGATGTGATAAGATTCCTCACACTCGGAACGATTTGAACATGTCACATGGTACAGAACCCAGACAGCTGATTGGGTTAGCGAGTGACAATGCCCACTTTGATCCTTCCCTCTTATTATTAGTGAAAATCACCAACGTAAAATTTCATGTGAACTGCAAAAACTTGGGTTCTTAAAGATGCGTATGTAAACAAAGGCTTTGTTTACATTTCAGTATCCAAAATATTTAATTTTATTCGACAACTATTTATATTTTCATGATTCTAGAGTATAATAAATTATCAAGAGACAACAATCAAGCTTTGCAAGAACGTAAAATGAAATAAAAACCTAAATAAACTGTTTGTAAATAAAAAGAGGGCTGACCTTTGTGCACATGCGCAGATCGGACTGTACCGCATCTTTAAATGTAAATTAATATGGCGGATTTTGAAAATATACAGTATTTGCATAATATGTAAGATAGATTTAGAAGTACTGTCAAGCAAGTTATTGAACAGTTCAGGTGCCATACACTTTATTTTAACTGCTATTAGATAGAACACTATTGTTGTCAGATTGAATTAATCCTAAAGTCCGTGAAATGACTAAAACATCTTCCTGTGTCTTCTGTTAACTTATTAAGCTGCTATGAGCCCCAATGCATTTTACTATGTCAACATTTTTACTTGTTGAGAGCAAAGTGTTGCTCTTTCCATAACTAACTTTGGTTGCCCTAAAGTGAATTGATGCTGTGGGATTTGTTTATAGCACACTGTACGCCCAAAATGGTTGGGAAAAATTTTGTGAATTACTTGTTTAAATTTTCATTATTTTCTACCCATAGTTGCCAAGGGAAAATGTTTATTACAGACAATGCTTGCATGCAAATTATGTTTGAAAGACAACCAATATCAGAATTAATTCAAATATTAATTTATTCACTTCTGTATACAAGTGGTTTTTTAATTACCAATTTTCATTAAAACTGTTGCATAAATTAGCTTTTGTTTAAACAAAGCTAGGAAAATATAAGCAACATGTTTGCTTTGTTAAGCCATCTAGGCATATTGCACTAGGAATTCAATTATTCAAATTTTCTAGAGAATTTTCCGGTTGTTAACTACGACTGTTGCCCCCACACCCCCCACCAAAGTTGCTACTTGCAGTGCGGGTGGGGGGCACAAGTTGTCCTGGGACCTCAAATTCAAACAAGACCAAAATGGTATCTCAACAGTTCTGATTTTATTATTTAGTCTGGATAAGTTTTATAGCAGAAAAAATTAGTAATAACCCCTTATTTAATCCATTAATCCCATGTTCATGCAAGCCTTGATATATTAAAATTTTGTGATTCATATTACTTTAATATTGAAAATTTGTAAACTGCATAGAAATATTTCAAAATAATTAATTGTTAGCACAAATTTGAAACATAACGCTATTACGTGTTGCAAAGGAGCCGGGAAAATAATTAGTTTCGGAACAATGAATATTGTTGACCTGTTTGTGTGTTAAAATAGCTTCTTATGTTACTATGGAATTTGGCACGAGCCACGTTGACTAAAATCCTGATTAAGACAAAAGCGCCGCAAAACAGCAATTGTTTTGCTAAAAAGACAGTTATGTCTGCTTTGGAAAGAATAAGACTTATTTTTTCTTGTTTTATAAACTTGCTGGCTCGCATAGTTCGTTTCAAAGCTCAAAAATAATGCGATTTTTATTTGAGCGTCAAAGAAAATTAAGAAATATGATACTTTTGACAGCTTATAAGCGTAATTAATTTTACGCATTCGATTTTACAACCGTACGTTTCCGCGCAGAAAATTGGTGAAAATTTAAAATATTACTGTTTTAAATCTGGATGGTAGGGTTTTGTTTTGTCTAGCAAAGGTCACAGAACAATAATATTTTTTTGTCTTGTATCTTTTTAAATGCGCATAAAAATGACCGGCGAACAAGCAGGTGATCGCCACACTCGCTCGAACAAACATGTCAAACGCGTGGGGAAAAGGCTTTATCTGCCCTCGATCGCGGTAAAACATTGAAATTGAATCTTGTATATTGTTAAGATTGAAGTATCTCAATCTGTGCTTTAAACGGAGCGGTAAATTAATCACAGAAACGCAATTTCATGCGCTTTGCATTTTCTATTGTATTTGTATAAAGTAGTCTTGGGGATGCAAGCTGTTTATATATTCAAATCGTCGGCGAAGCGAAGATAAAATATAAAAGAAGCATATTCAGAGATACGATATTCACACATTGATAAAATTATTGTTTTTCGAAGACATCTTTATCGTGCAAGATCCCAATAAAGTACACCTAAAATTGCGCCACACAAACAAAGATTCGTGTTATCTAGTTTGCATAAATTGTATCGAACGCCAAAGCGTTCTGAACCGCAAGTTTGCAAAAAACCCTACAATCTTGTTTATATATTCCTCTAGGATTAGTCTACTAAGCTATTTTACGATTCTTGTTATTAAAGCATTAGTATGTCATTAATAAGTATATATCTAAACGGTGAAAATGTTATTTATTTGAAACGCTAGCCTGATCGATTTTGTAAACATGTTACAATTTACATGCGAGAAGCGCATCGAGACTTTAGCCTGGATTTTGGAGTCGCCATCCCAAATATAAACGATCAAAATACACCATATTTAGAGCGCTTTTTACGCTTAAATAAGCCTCTACCATTATACTAGAGAGTCGCTACTTTAGCGAGAAAAGCAGACAAGCTATTAAACGGTATTTCAAATTTTCGAATACTTCGAAATGTAAACATCACTCACTCACCTTCGTCAAGTAGTCGTTCCAAATGCAGAAATATCTTGGGCATTTTTGAAATGGTTGTTTTATCCTTTAGTAGCTGGTTAAGATATTCGCTAGTGTTCATTTTGAACTGATGTATCGTTTAATTTTTAAACGGTTTTATTTCATTAAAGGGCAAGGACCTGCTGATCCAAGATGTGTAGTCCCTTGTTCAATTTGACCGGATACCGCGCGTTCTCAAGCGCGAAGCGCGGGATAGCCAACATGTGACGTATGTCCGGAGGGTTGGGGGAACGGATCACAGATCCCCCCCCCCCCAAAAAAAAAAAATCAATTCATGCAGAGAGTGGAATTTGAAAAAAAATTCCTGCAAATATTTATGGAAAGAAATATATTCCTGCCACTACATGGAATATTACAAAAATATATAGAAAGAAATTCCCCCACAACTTCATTATTGCAAGATTAGGGAAATAAGGAATCTAACGGTCCACCTCTTATATAAAGTATAAACGAATTCTGGAGCAAGTCTAGATATTACACAGCTACAAAGATATTTCGCTTTTACCTCTGCTTTTACCCCTTAATGGTTTTCAAGGAAATATTTTAAACAGTAGTTGGTTTGAACAAAAGCGGTTCTCTTTCAACATGCACATATAAAAAAAAAACAAAGAAAAAATGCTATTTAATCTTCTCTTTTACCTATTAATTAATAATAGACGAGCAATTAGCTAGGGAGAAATATGGATATTTATGGTTGTTTTGTGTGTTTAGGGTTTGCTATGGATACCAATTGAGTAATGTAGATAATAGTTGATCACGATGGATAATTCTTGAATACTGTGGATAACTATGGAACGCTGTGGATAACAATGGATTTCTGTGGATGATTATGGAATATTGTGAATATTAGTGAATTGCTATGGATATTTATGGCATTCAATGGATGGTAATTGATTGTTGTGAACATTTATGGATTTTGTTGAATTGTTATAGGATAATAGAGGACTAATAGGTTAGTAATAGGCAACGTGGGATGAGTGTGGATCGATAGAGATAGTTATTGTAATGATTTCTAGGGATAAATAGGATATTGTATTAAATTAAAATTAAAAATGGCGGCTTCTTCAAGCGAAATAAATCTAGATGGTCGGCTTGAAAACTTTATGCAAGAGGTAAGAATTTGATTTTTGTAAAACGTAGTAAAAGAAACATTTATCTAATTGGTTATTATGTATATAAAGCGGAAAATGTAGCACTTCGGATATTATTTTTATTTAAAAATTGCATATAGAAATACATGGTTGTATTACTGTATATTTATTATATATTTATGTAATTTAATATAGTGTTATAGTCTGTTTATCGATAAAATATTTCAGGTGAAGACAATTGAACAGCGAGACTCAGTTTTGACAAGCAAGCAGCAAATAGACAGACTGTTGAAGCCTGGCTCAACATACCTTAACTTAAACCCATTCGAGGTAAATTGGTAAAATAGTTTAGTTTATAAAGTCACATATAAATTAGAACTGTCACATAGCATTAAATGGGGTTTGGCTCTAAATAATTTGAATATAATTCTTGTTTAGGTTCTTATGCTTCCACCAGAATCTACTCCTGAACAAATCAAAAAGCAATATAGAAGGGTATTGTTTGTTCTGATTTTTTGTCAAATATACAAAAACCAGTCTCTCAAATATCTAATCCTATCAATCAATTCATTTCCTAGTTGTCTATTCTCATACATCCTGATAAAAATGCTGACGATCGAGACCGTGCACAGAATGCATTTGATGGTAAGAATGGGCAATTCCAGCTATATACTAAATTTTTATCTGGGCAAGAAGAACAAAATCCATTACCACAGCTAGATAGAGCATGTTAAAATTAGTAAAATTGCAAAGTTTGGTTGTGAAATGTTATAAAATGCGGAAAATATAGCACTACGAAATTTGCAAATTTTGTATTAATTTGTATTACGCACAGGAATTTGCACCACTTTCAGCCCAAATGTGGTGCATTTTCCCGTGTGTAATACAATTTAATACAAAATTTTAACATGCTCTTTCTAGCTGTGTTGATGGATTTTGTTCTTTTTGCCTAGATCAAAATTTAGTATATAGCTAGAATCATCCATTCCAACCGTGGAATATTATCTATAAAAATCCATTTAATTAAAATTATGTTGTGTTTCTTTGACAATTTTTTTCATTTGCAGAGCTAAATAAAGCATACAAGCTTGTTAACGATGAAAAAGAAGTTGTTAAAGTGAAGGAAATGATTAACGAAGGAAAAGCTCTGGCAGAACAAAAGGTTTGATCGAGAATCATTTGTAGTCCCTAAGCTTTCTTCCTTACAACTCTTGACCAAAATAAGCATTATTCCCATGACTCTTCTTACAAAGTCTTTTCTGGACTGCTATTTATTTGGTTATTGGGTAGTTCCAGTAAAGATCCACCCTGCCCGCATGGAGGAAATTTCTGCTGCCCTGAGGGGGAGGGGAGAAAAATTTGTTTCTGATAATAGTAAGTGTATTAGAACATCCGAAGGGGGTAGGTGGTTGACTTCCAATTACCTCTGTGGGGCAGGTATGGATGATTTCTGGAATGACCAGCTAGAACAAAATTGTGAAAATAGTTTGATTCCTGTTTGTCTTCTTGTAGTTATCTGAGAAGAGGAAGCAAGCAAGAAAAGAAGGGAAAATGACAATTGAAGAAGACGACCCAGACGTGGTTAGTATCTGAGTGACCGCCCATCTAATGATGAGAATTAATTTCCTGAGGCCATCACTACTACAGTCGTAAGGCTGTTGAGTTTTGGAAGTACTATTTAAAACATGAACAGCAGTGTTTTATCAGATATAAAGATACAAGGCGAAGCCGAGTATCTTTAGGTCTGATAAAACATGCACTGCTAATGTTTTAAATTGCTTCAAAAATGATCGATGAAATTTGTTAGCGAAGTAATTTTCAAAAAATATGTTATGTAAGTCGAGAAAATCAAAGTTAAAGTTTATGTTAATCAAGGGAAATCTCTATCACATATAAAGATACAACTCTATCACATATAGAGAAGTCTCTATCACATATAAAGATATATTTTTCTTTGTGTTTTCCTCATGAATTATTAATGATTTTTTAACCTTATTTAATTTTTCCTAGTATACAAAATATGTGAGGACAACAACAATTAAATTATTTGCTGATTATGAATTGAGAAGGAAACACTTAGAGAAAAGAGACACAATGGAAAGGTGGGTTATATCTTTTAGATGACTCATTGTATACAACTTCAGTATTTCATAATATCAACCCTCAGAATGTTGAGAATCACACCTAAGATTGTAGGAATTTGCATTCCTGAACTGCTAAATTTCCCTTTCTCCCTCTTCTACAGGATTTCCACATGCATATTATCCCTAATTTAGGTGGCCAAAAAACCTCCTTGCATGCTGGTAAGGAAAGACAAGAGTAATTAGAGTTCATTAGGCACAGTTCAGCCTTTTGAATGATGGTTTTTAAGGAGCATTACAACCTTTTTAATTGAAAAAACTAACTAGGAAAATCTATTAAGCATAATTCAAGATCAGTGAACTCAATGTTTTTTAACATTTTGTAACATTTTTAATGTTAAAAACATTGAGTTTACTGATCTTGAATTATGCTTAATTTGATTTTCCTAGTTAGTTTTTTCAATTAAAAGGGTTGTAATGCTCCTTAAAAACCATCATTCAAAAGGCTGAACTGTGCATTTAAGTTCAGTTTCTTGAAATCCAATATGATTTTTCAGAAAACGACAAAGAGAACAAGAAATCAAGCAAGAAGAGAGTGTCAAGAAAAAGAAGGAATGGGATAAGAAATGGGAGGTACGTAAAAATTGAAAATTCCTTTTGTTGTAGTCCTCATTACCACCATGAATAGCTGCAAAAGTTTAATACAAAGACACAACAGAATTCATTTCTTTTGTTCCCTCTGCTCATCCTCACAGTTTTTTCAGAGACCACCAAGCTGGGGATTCAACCATACCTGCCCCCCCTTTCTGCCATGCCCCCTCCCCTCCCCTTGACATATTAGGTTGAAATAATGTAACCTGACCTCAATAGGCTTTGTTCACTCGCGTGGCCACTTCCAAACGCACTTTGCAGTCACTGTGAATCAAAGCTTCACTGCATTTTCTGCTCTTGTGTATAAAAAGAAAGGTATAGCGCATGTGAAGCATGTTGTCCCTTGAGTGCATAAATAGCATCGCAAAAATCTTCAATGACGATGGTTTTTGTTAATTAAATAAAATTGAAATATGGCGATGCACATGCAGGTCACGAAAATGTTTTCCTAATCGTTTGAATGAACTTTACACTATTACTGGAATCAAACCTAAGCTAATTCAACTTTGAAATATTTTGGATGTTTATCAAAGCCGTGATAAGAGCTTTGTTAAACGAATGATCCCGGGACTAGCCCGGCTCCATAATGGAACAGCCCGTAACTCTTCTCATCGCTATGTGCAGGACAGTCGTCAAGATCGTGTGAACAGTTGGAGAGATTTTAAACAAGGCAAAAAGAAGCCGAAAAAAACTGGAGGAAAGCTGCTTAAACCTCCTAAACTTAATCCAGAAAAGAGAACGTAACTTTTAGATTACTGCTTATTGAGAAATGATTCTCGGTCAGTAAACGAGAAAAACGGCTTCATATTTCGCAAATTTTCTTCCACTCGAGCGGGCTCGTATATTCAGCGGACATTTCGCACAAAAACCGGGACCATTCTATTGTATCAGCACAATGTGAAACGCAAAGCTTTCAATTTTTCACCGGAATTCCGCTGGAAAATGCGCCTGCTGTACTGGGAGGAAGTATGTGATATGATGATAGCTACAGTATACTTGTTATAACATATCCGTGCTGTCTGATTATGTGATGACGTTTTTCACAGTGCATGTTGCAACTGAACGTATTCTTGCTTGAGGTGGATTTTTACAAGAACATTGTAAAAATATTCATACAAAACTGTGTGGTACAAATGAAATGTTTATTATGTGAAATAGTCTTACCCTGAAAATAATTGCTAAATCTCTTGTTAAGGCCCGATTCCACGAGGCGGAATTTTTCGACCGAAAAGAAATTTCTCTTTGTCTTTTTACAATTAGTTCTGCTCGAGAGCTCATGAAACAAAGGGAAATTTCGATTCGGTCGAAAAATTTCGCCTAGTGGAAAACCGCCTTTAAGACTGACCATATTGTACTGTATATAGAAACTATTGGTTTATGCTAAATGAAAACTTTTCTTAAACCTTGAAATATAATTGTGGTTTTAAAATTTTAATTGTCAGTTTCTCCAAGATCTTGAACGTATTGAACCTAAATTGAACTAAACTGATCTTCAGTAATACAATGAGTTCGTAGGATTTTATCGCGCGACGTTTTGCTCTTCCACGCGAGATTTCCCGTCTTTAAAAATCTCACGCGAGTCACGCGATGGTATGTTTTGACGTGACCTCATTCGATTTAACAGTCAATTTCCGTTTACGTATATTGGGTCTCTGTGTTCCTTGTTCTATATATATAATAAAGGACTCTGTCATCCAGCTTCAGCAATTGGATCATGCCGAAGTAAAATCAACACTGCCGACAAACGGGAAAGTAGGATAACAATTCCACGGGCCTCTGTATAACCGGGCCTCGATGCCTGGACACTGGGGAGAGGAGCGCATAATTTCTGAAAGCGTTTAAATGATAGCTGAACAACTGTGTAACAAAGCTGTAGCAATAATTTTTCAACCTTTCATGCATTGCTAGGCTATAAATGGAGCTAAATATGGCATGGACATTGAGCTATGATTTGCAGCAACAAAGGGTGGCCATACGTTGCCGGCAACTAATTCCCCCCCCCCCCCCCCCC